TTTTTTGTTATTGAAAAGAAAACACATATATAAACAAATAAAGATGACATATTAAGATAAGAAAATAAAAAAAAATATAAAATCATATGGTATCATAGGCCTACCTTTATATCATTGTACCATGATTGCAATAACTTTCCTATGTTGAGTTTTTTACTTAAATTTTTTTATTTTTCAAACAAAAATATAATCAAAATTAGCTCAAAAATTATTTTGCAAAAATAATTATTAAAAATGATTCGTATATGTCTTTTTATGATGGAGAATAAGATACAACAACGGTAGTGTGCGTACTTACCCATCTATGAATATACGAGTCCTATATTTCTATTACCTTCTCTTCAAAAGGTTAAAGATTTCCAAAAAAATTTACACAAAAATCTCATAAAACGCGAGGGGGTACCTAATGTAGTGGTACATGGTAATAATGTTATCATAAACTAATATCTGACAGCTGAGTGGATGTATCCGTTAGGAAACCGACAGTTACTCTCTGACAAGTCAACGACCCTCTACTTGAATTTTACCATAAGGTGATACTCATTGAGGTAGACATGCACTTCTTACAAATTAATTCAACTGGTTGAATATCCAGCGTTCTTATCGGATTGGGGAGGTTTCTCTGCCAACGTATCAGTTTCGGAGATAGATAGCTGCATTAAGGATATAGATTCCGTCTTTTGAGATAACATTAATGCCCAAGAAATAGCACAAAGTACTTACCTACTCTAGGGCCTTAAGTTTTATTAAGCTCTGTCGGCGGTTGCGTAGATATGGTGATCCTGAGCGACAACTAGTTATCATGGCCGATATCTGTAAAACTCGGCCAGATTATTAAAGCCAATACGTTTAGAACAAAAACCTTCTCAAGGGAATTACGGTCAATTCCAAGTCCTATGGCAAGGTCAAACTTGCTCTGAGATCTTGTTCGATCTTGCTCTGAGATCCTATCGCAGACGCCAGTGGTGCTTGGGTTGGTTTTGAAGTTTATTCACTACTAATGTCTTCCATGTGCACAATATCTATCCTTGGGAGGATAGTAGGACGCTTTATTTTTGCGATGATTAGAGGTACCGTGGAAGAAATATCGATTATACGGGACTATCTGTTAGTCTGCCCAAACCTTAACGGCCTTTAGGTGCATGGTTGGTGAAAACTTCGGTAGGAAGTACACAAATGTGTTCTCGTATCTCAACGCTCAACATTTTTGAATATAAATAATATCTACGTAATGTGAAATAATGATATGATTCCCTTCAAATATCCTATTATGTTTTCTGCTACAAAATGCGCATATGTACGTATAAAATCAGTCATATGATGTAGAGGAAGATAGTAAGTACACAAATGTTGCCATCCACTTAGATATATAAATTCCAGTCGTTTGGCTTTGATTATCAAGTCTGTAGAATTGTCGCAAATTTTTCCTGTATTCTCTAGCCGCTGCCCAGTGTCCCTCCCCATCCTATATTATATTCGTGTGACATTCCGGCTTCTCCCCATAAGGGGAGGCCAATAGGCGGCCTCCGTCGCTACTTCCTTAAGGGGCGAATAAGGTTGAAGTCGGCCAGGCAAAATCTACCCCATTTTAGAAGATTTTAGCCGCCTGCGAAGATATGTCAATGGACAATGTCCTGCCCAGGGACAAACGTCTGCATTTCAGAAACATTGGAATCTTGATGATGAGGGATGGTATTTTCAAAGTTTGGACCTTGGTCCGGGCCGAACTTTGAATACCCTCCACCATTTGGAACGAATTAGAAAATTTTCAAAAAAAAATAAAATCCATTAAAAATTCTTTTAAAATCTTTAAAATATCTAATATAGGAAGGTGCCGATATGGGGGATATACGATATTGTGGACCAGAGGGCTGCAATGAGTATGATCGAGTAGGCTTGATCACACACAGTGGAAATACAATCAAACTCAATCAGTCGGTCAGATGCAACATGTTCATTCGAGTTACTCAAGCCAAACGAAAAAGATGTGATCAAACATGTATTGATCGAAGTTTTGTGATCGCAATCAAACAGCTCACATGAGTTATTTGTTTACGAACTTATGTTGAATTGTTCATAACCGGTCGATCATCTATGAGGAGTCTTGTCGGTTTGATTCATCTCAGTTAAGTGAGTGATTTGATTAAAACACAAATGTTCGAAACTGAGCGAAATCATGATTGTAATTTTACAAAGGATTTCATAACTAAAAGCTGTCCCCATAAAAAAAATGGTGCAAATTATATCTAAACAATGTTTTCGTTTTATTTGGTTTTTTGGTGTGTTAGACTTCAGTGACTTATTAAAAAAAAAACAAAATTAAATTTTTTAATAAAGAAACACATCATTGGTATTTAGAAAACTAAAAATGTTTAAATATTTTTTTTATTTTACAATATTGGTCAAGATTTTTCACAAACTTCGACCTCTTCGTTTACCTACACCTGTGTAGTTTCTACTTGCAACAATTTCGTTCGCACTATCACAATATTCTTCCATTTCAAATATTAAAAAAGTCAAAATAAACTGTCCTAACTTGATTAAATGGTTGAATAAACAATGACGCTGAGCGAACTCGATTCAAAGAAGACAATCACGGTTGTGATTGCTCATTTACATTCATGTGTTCGATCAACTCACGTTGCTGAACACATCAAACCGTCTCGAACGCTCATGTTTGATTGTGAGTGAAGTGATTCAAACTGAGCGTTCGATTCGATCCGAAGCGAAAACGGTCATTTCATTCAGATCAAACTAAACGACTGCATCAACAAAAATCAGGAAAGAAACCGAGTATGCTTGAATTTTTGCACACTCGTTGCAGCCCTCTGTTGTGGACCTATAAAGACAAATCTATGTCTGCGTGTAAAGTACTCAAAAGGAACTCCTGGTGTGGATATTCAGATAATTCCATTGGAAAAAGTGGCTATAATCATCAAAATACGGAATATAGGGGAGTACCGTTATATGGGGGATATACGATATTGTAGACCTATATAGACAATTCCGTTTCAGGGGTAAAGTGCTCACAAAGAACTCCGTGTGTGGATTTTCAGACAATACGATTGGTAAATGTGGCTAAAATCATCAAAATACCGAATATCGCGGGGTATCGTTATATGGGAGCTATACGTTATCGTTAACCTATATAGAGAATTCTCTGTCGGGGGGTAAAGTGCTGACAAAGAACCCCTTGTGTACAAAGAACCCTTTGTGACCATTCCGTTGAAAACTATGGCTAAAAACATCAAAATACCGAATATCGGGGGTACCGTTATATGGGCTATACGATATCGTGGACCTATATAGATAATTCTCTGCCGAGGTATAAAGTACCCACAAGGAACTCCTTGTGTGGATTTTCAGACAATTCCGATGAAAAATGTGGGTAAAATCATCAAAATACCGAATATCGGGGGGTACCGTTATATGGGGGATATACGATATCGTGGACCTGTGTAGACAATTCTCTCTCAGGGGGTGAAGTACTCACAAGGAACTACTTGTGTGGATTTTAATACTAATCCATTGAAAAGTGTTCCTAACATCATCAAAATACCGAATATCGGGGGGTACAGTTATATGGGGGATATACGATATCGTGGACATATATAGACAATTATTTTTGAGGGGGTAAAATGCCCACAAGGGACTCCTTTTATGGAATTTCAGACAATTTCATTGAAAAATGTGGATAAAATCATCAAAATACCGAATACCGTGGGGGGTACCGTTATATGGGCGCTATACGATATGGTGGACCTATATATAGATAATTCTCTGCCGAGGTATAAAGTATCCACAAGGAACTCCTTGTGTGGATTTTCAGACAATTCCGATGAAAAATGTGGGTAAAATCATCAAAATACCGAATATCGGGGGGTACCGTAATATGGGGGATATACGACATCGTGGACTTGTATAGACAATTCTCTCTCAAGAGGTAAAGTACTCACAAGGAACTACTTGTGTGGATTTTAAGACAATTCCATTGAAAAATGTGGGTAACATCATCAAAATACCGAATATCGGGGGGTACAGTTATATGGGGGATATACGATATCGTGGACATATATAGACAATTCTTTTTAAGGGGGTAAAATGCCCACAAGGGACTCCTTTTGTGGAATTTCAGACAATTCCATTGAAAAATGTGGATAAAATCATCAAAATACCAAATATCGGGGGTACCGTTATATAGGCGCTATACGATATGGTGGACCTATATAGATAATTCTCTGCCGAGGTATAAAGTACCCACAAGGAACTCCTTGTGTGGATTTTCAGACAATTCCGATGAAAAATGTGGCTAACATCATCAAAATACCGAATATCGGGGGGTACAGTTATATGGGGGATATATATCGTGGACCGATATAGCCCATCTTCGAACTTGACCTGCCTGCAGACAAAAGAGAGATCTGTGCAAAATGTTAGCTTACTATCTTAATTCGTTTAGACTGTAGCGTGATTACAACAGACAGACAGTCGGACGGACAGGGCTAAATCGTCTTAGAATTTTACGCTGATCAAGAATATATATACTTTGTTGGGTCTAAAATTATTATTTCGATGAGTTACAAACGGAATGACGAACTTAATATACCCTCCATACTTTTTTTGGTGGAGGGTATAAAAAGAAAAGACTTGTTATTCTAATGTCTGCATATACCTATGTTCATATGCAGACAATAGGATTATACAAATGGAAAGTTCTTTGGATCAGACCTCTGATAAAGACGATCTATCCTATGGTATCAATGAAAACTATAGCATAAAAGAAACAAGGAAAACGAGATATAAGCTAATTATCTGATTGATACACTTTCAAACAATGGAAAAACTCTTTTTCTCATTCTGACGATTTTATAGCTAATGATTGTTATGTATGACGTTTGCCCAGTTGCATTGAGGAAAGATAAGATCTTTTGCAACAACAATACTCAACACCTTGAGAATTTTAAATTGAAAAATGTGTTAATTTTCTTAACTTTTTGCAGGCATGTGAATTTCATTCATTCGTATAACCACTAAACGTTACAAACGTAATATCTCTCAGTGAAACGCGTACTATTTTGGAATACCAACAGACATACATAGTTACATACACATTCGAATGCATGGAGGCCTTTATGAGAACAACAAATCGATTAGCACCTCGATGATTACCTATGGATGAAGAGTTTTGCTCCACCATCGTCAACTGAAGCGATAATTCCGATACACCTCCAATCGTTATTTGCAGCAACAGCAACACGAAAGTGAAAAATAAAATAAACCGTTGAAAGGAGTCAACGACAATGGTGCTCTTCAGTGGTCATCGTTCTCACAGAATTTGGTGAGTATTGCTATTGATTCTCAAAAAAGAAAATAAACAAGAATCATTGATGAATTGGGGGTTTTGTGTCAAACATTTTTGAGAGATTTTGTTATTCATCTTAATGCAAGTGTACCCATGCACAGTGGTCGAGGTCGTATGGGAACAGCGGCCAAAAATACTTTCAGTGCAGATATCAATATGAATCTTTGGTTATGGTACATTGATGGGATAAAAATAAAAAATTTGACAAAATAGATATGGTCGATGCATGTTTTGGCATGGTCCCCTTACAACGAACCTCCCGAATAAGGGTCATTTGCCCAATTTTTGTCACATTTGTACACTATATTGTTCTGTTATTTGGCATTTTACGTTCTAAAGAGCTAAAAAATAGTCTTACTTTAAATTAATTGGAACGGCCCGCCTTCAGGTAGAGTCCCCTGTAAAGGTACCTTTAAAAATAGAAGTATTTTTTATACAAATTTTATTTCAAATTTGATTATTTTTTGTAAACAAAATGGATAATTTTTTTGTTATCAAAATAAACAATTCAATATAAAATTAAATCAAAGTTACTAATGGATATTTTTTAAATTTCAGTGTTATATAAGTAAATCAAATGCAGATTTTAATAATATAGATTTTTTATTGTTTGGTAACGTTCGCTGCCCCGTTATAAAATGGTCAGAGCTCAGAAGAAGACGGTTAATAAGATCTGTGTTTGTTGAAACACGAGAATTTTTTCGGGTATGATTTAGTCGAAACTTTTTTATGACTTTTTTTCTAGACTCCACGGCATCCTCCTATAATTCTCCAATCGATACAATGACAAATTTATAACGTCGGGTGCATGTATTAAAATTTTATGAGCTGTGGGTGGAAGATAGTGTCATACTCTTTCCAGTGCAAAGACCTTAAATTTTTCGACATTAATAGTATACCCAGAAGACAATGCAGGCAACATTATTGAACATCCTAAATTATATCCTTATCAATCCCAAACAACAAAAACATATACTATGTCACTAGCACCATAGAACTGACAAAATTGGAGCGAAGTCACTTCAGTATATTGGGCATAACATACAAATCTGACAAAATCTGAAAGTTAAATTAGCACTTCTAGCATCTTAGGACCATTACTAATGGGGTGAAAAAAATCACATTGGAGGATTCAGGGGGGGAAACAATTAAAACTTTAACTGAAATCCAATTTTATTTTCAAAATTAATCTTAAAGGCCACTCAGAACACTCACATCGTCTATATTATACACAAATACTAAACACTCAAATTACTGCACTAAAAATAAGTCAATACCTTGCCTCTCAATAATTATGCCAAGAATTGTCATTTTAAAATGTATTTAATTTTGTAATACAGATCTATTTTTACTCCACTTTTTCACTGATCCCACTGAAAAAAGCAACTAACTACATTTTCTCTTTTTTGATGCTATTTTCGAAGTGTTCCGCTAGAATGAAGCCCAGATTATTATGTTTTCTAAAAAGCTTAACCTCTTAAGAGTTCATGTGCACACATTTGACAATAAATATCTGATTTTCAGTTTTTGAATTTTGGCCAATGGCAGCGACCACTGTGCCATGGTAAGGTAGAGCTAAGAGCTGGTAAAGTAGAGCTATCAGCTGTTTACAATTTTTTTCCAAAGTGTGCCCGACTTCTGCTAATTTTGTGTATGTATTTGTTGTTTTGAAAAATGAAAACAAAATATTTTCAAAACCCATGATTGGAAGACACATAGAATTCGGCTCGCTCATTAGCCATGAAGTTGAAAGATTGAACAGTTTGGATCATGTTTTTGAGAGAAAATCCGGGCATTTCATGCATTTTTCGGGCTATACGACTCATTTAAAATTGAGGAATAATATGAAAAAAAAAATGAAAACAAATTGTTGTATATAATTTTGAATGAGTCTGCCAGGAGGCGGGCATAGCCTCAAAGCTGTATTTCTGTAGATTTACGAAGCTATTCTAACTCCTTGTTGTACCATGAGTGTACCTAGCAAGTGCTCGCTGCTCGCTACTTCGGCTTCATCTGTTCACCCTAAGCCAAACTTTTCCAATTTGAGTACATTTAGTGCAGTTCACACATTTAATACACATTTTCAGCTAGTCGGTCAGTTATTTCACTACTCGTAATACGTGAACACCTCGTAATACACATTTTAGACCCCATAAAGTACATATATTCTTGATCAGCATAAAATTCTATGTCAATTTAGCGATGTCCGTCCGTCTATCCTTTTGTCCGTCTGTGGAACTCATTCTAGCTTAAGAACGAAATGAAGGATTTTGATAAAATTTTACTCAAATATGTATTATGTCTGCAGGACTTTTGGTATTGAAAATGGGTCATTTAGGTGCACTGTTCAGTATAGCCCCCATATAATAGTACCGCCCTTTTGCGGTATTTTGGTGATTTAAGCGACATTATTCGCCGGGAATTTTTCAAATTTGGTATTTGAAGTTCGTAATGGATACACAGCCTATGACAGAAAATTGTCTGTGCAGGTCCACGTCTTCATATACCCCCTATATAACGGTACCTCTTGTATTCGGTATTTTGATGATTTTAGCGACATAATTCGCCGGGAATGTTTCAAATTTGGTATTTGAAGTTCGTAATGGATACTGCAGCCTAAGACAGAAAATTGTCTGTGCAGGTCCACGTCTTCGTATAGTCCCAATATAACGGTACCTCGGTATTTTGATGATTTTAGTGACATTATTTACCGGAATTTGAATATTGTAATGGCTTATGACAAAATTTATCTATGCAGGTCCATGTCCTATTATAACCGCAAATGCGTTCCAAATGGTGGAGGGTATTCAAAGTTCGGCCCGGACAAACTCACAGCTTTCTTATTTGTTTTGATAATGCTGTAATTAGTACTTTTTAAAATATTCAAAAATAATTTCCATTTTCTGTTTTTTTTTTTTTTTCAAATCATCATAAATCTTGTTTCAAAGACAAGAAAATATTCTTCGAATTCGATTTATGTGGGTTACTTTTGTCAGCCATAAACATTTGTTGTGTTAATTCATTTATTTGGTTATAAAACGTTTATCGTTTAATTTATGCAAATACGGTCATTGAAATGTGATAATGGCGGAGCTGGTGTTCTATTGGACCATGTCTATCGAAAAAGTATGACAGCCAGAGGTGACGTGTACTCTTGAAAATGTAGAAACCGAAACAAACAATAATTGACTACTAAAAAACACAGACAAATATGAGTGGAGAAATTTACAAGCTTCTTGCTTATAAACATTCTTCAATAGAAATGGAATTTAACATTTGTTTCTAACTTTTTATCAAACACTCTTTGAAAAGAAATAAGACGTAATTGGAAGGCAGTGCAGATATTTTGAAATATAATGTACTTATCGATGACTCCCCTTTGTCAAGTAATGGGTGAATCAGGTCCTTCTTATCCCTTAACACTACAGGGTGAGATAAAAAAGGGCGACCGCCCTTATTTTTACTTTTTTTAAATTTTATTGAATGAAAGAAAAAAATGTCGAAAATAGCATCAAATTTTAGAATAAGTCTAGTTTTGTTCTAATTGGTCACCTTAGGCACGAATTATGGCCTTCAAACGGCCAACGAAACCGTCACACGCTTCCCGAATGTTGCTCTGCGTATTTTGGTCCATTCCCGCCGAAGCGTCTGCTTGAGGTGATTGACACTTTGGTATTTTTTAGTTCTTGCACTTTACCCCAGCTCGTTTTTCAATATTTGCCGAATGGAATATTGCGATATGTTCAGCTCACGAGCCATTTTTTGGCCACTGCGACGCGGGTTTTGATCAAGTCGCTTCTTTACTTTTCGAACAATTTCTGCCGATTTTGCTGTTTTCTTCCGTCCACTTCTTTGACGTCGGGCTACGGTACCAGTATAACTATAGTTCATCTATTTTTTTTTTGCGGCTATAAACGCTGCTTAAAGACCATGACGGGATTTAAATTATTAATATCTCTGTAGAAAGCTTCACAATTACAAAAGTGTGTTTCTAAATTGTATTTTTTCAAACGCATAACGCGGTGTTACAAAATTAGAAAAATATGCTTAATTAATCCACGATCCGTATTTATGTACCTACATCTGCATGTGAGTGCCCCACTAAATGTGCGCATTGATGAAGAACGGAGATTACCAAGAACAGCGGGTAATGGAAAAAAAACATTGTGCGGAAGGTCAATATTGCGTCGCAGCTGTAGTGTCGAGTAATACAAAGATGTCGTACATCGTTGTAGCCGGTTTCTGGTAATTATATTATTTTGAACGTTTTATGGCTCTCAATTGAAATTAACTGGGCGATGACTCATCGATGGCACTCTTATCAAAATATTCTTCCAGTTTTCCTTTTTTATTTTTGCCGAATAACCTCCTCATTAAGTTGTTAAAACTTGTCAAATGAATTTGTTTTCGGGGAAGCACTTCTTCCCCAAAATGCCATTTCTACCAAATTTTATAAAAAATGAAATTTGTTATCAAAATAAACAAAAAGCACAGATTGATTTTGAGTTGGAATCAACTGATAAAGCATCAATCAATTCACACTTTCCGGTTTTATTGTCGATTATATTATCGAAGCATAAATAAACGTTCAGACAAACAGTTCCACATACAGACGAACAAACAATGGAATCCCCCCAGAGTATTTTTATTTTATCTCTCTTTTTTTGGGCATAGGTTAGTCAAAGATTTTAAATTAGCTTGAATTTTATATTTAAAACAGACCAACAACCAGTCTTGGATGAAATGGAATGAAGAAAAGCAACAGCAACAACAATAATTCTGAGAACATTTCCAATTAAAGAGTGTTATGGAATTGAAGGGGACTGGCTGTGTAGGTCTGTGGCATGGACTCAGCTGCCAATCTGGGAGAATGTGGTATTTCCAAAGAAATTCTCCATAACCCAATTTCGTTGGTCTACGAAAGTAGTAAAAAAATCAATATTTTAAATTTTTTATAAGGCGATCAAGTATGAAAT